TGAAGTTTTTAACTGAAGTATTATACTGGGACAGTGCACTACTTCTGTACTGTCTTGGTAGAAGCAGGGTCAGCAGCTTGGCCAGGGCCAGGAGCAGAGTACAAGGGGTGGTGTGAGGCAGACCATGCTCCCCCCTGCAGGGTTGTGTCCCACAGAATGCACCCAAGGGAAACAGGATAGGGCTCACAACTGTAACTAAGGTCAGCAAAGAATCCAGGTCCCCAGCAGGTCCACAGTGATGAGGGAGAGCTGAGGCAATTCAGGAAGCCAATGAGGCAATTCAGGAAGCCAAGCCTACAGCTTTGGCTCAGAAAGGGAACCAGACATGTCAGCAGCACAGCTCAGGCAGGGACCAAGGCTCAGTGCCTGAGCAGCTCCCAGGCAAGGGACTGAAGCTCCCAAGAGGGCTTATTGCAGATCATCCTCACGCAGCTCTTTCCACAAGGCTGATCCCAGGTTACAGCTGCACCACATCAGAGAAGCCAAATGTCATTAGGGAATGAGTGAGGAAAGCTACTAAGGACCATGAGGTATACCAGCTGAACTGTGGTCCTGATAAGTTTGGGTATAACTTTCAAAAGAATAAAGAGATTGATCACCTCAAATAAAATGGAGCTAATCACTGTTTAGAGACATCTTAACAGTCATAGACATTCACTATTACATTAACATTGTTTCAATATAATCAGAACCAAATTTCAGATTGGAAGTCTTCAATATAATACAAATTCTATTCTATTCATGGGGAGACTGAGAAGGGAAACTAATCCTAATGGTAGGGATAACTTTTTCACCCTCCAATTGTGAATTTACAACTTCTGAATGAGAGATTGTCTTTCAAATAATTTAGCAGCTGACTTTCCTTTTTTTCAGAGATACTTGTTCTGAGACACTCCAGAAAGACAAATATAGTTGTAGGTTAGCAGATTTTAGAAGCGTTACACGGACTAAACTGAATAGAAAAAAAAAAAAACACGTGGTTAGAGAAATCCTTTCCTCAAGTTTGTAATCTCACCTGTCTCTTGTAGAGAAATGAAGAATCAAACCATGTCTTCTAAGGACCAACTTATTTGTAAGCAAATCATTGAGTTTATCTCAAACCCTAGTGACTTTAAAAACCTGATTGTGACAGACTAATTCTTTGGTGCCTGACAATTCTCAACAGAATGAAATGGATTATGCATTAGCATAGGCACACTAAAATTCTGTGTTGTGACTCCAGACAGATGGTCATATCACAAGTCCTGCAATTAGAAGAGAACTTCATGTTTTGCTGTAAATCAAACATAGCCCCAGAGAAATAATCAAAATGCAAAGCTTTCACTGAACCAGAGGGAGCTGAGAGAAGTTCCCTACTTATACGTAATGTGTTTCCCATGATGTTGCTGAATTCTATAAAACAACTGAAAATCTCTTGCTTTCGTTCTTCAAAGACAAAAAAAGAAGGATGTTTCAGTGGCTGCAAGTGATAGCAGGTTGTCAAACACCCTGAAAGAAGGTTTTCAGCATGCATTTAATTAAGTCTTCAGACAAGTATTTTTTTCTTTCTGCATAAGTGAAATGTTGGTTTACTGAACTGGAATTCTGAGCTACTGAAATTTATATTCAATGTTGTATCTATCTGGAAGCTGCATTTTTCCAATATTTAAGCATTTAAATTTCTCACCTGTATAAACCTCATTCTGCTGTCAGCTGCCTCATTCAATGTGCATTTCCCTATATAAATCAGCATAAAATAAAGAAAAAGAACAGTAGGATATTTTACATATCAGTGGTACTCTTTTCACTGAGAAAAATTTCTGCTTGCTGTCATGTGATTTATTATTTCAGTTTTAATCAGTCTGAAATTGTTCATAAACATAAAACACAACAGTTCAAGGTTCCTTACTCCCTTGAAATTTCAGCCCTCATTCTGGTTGAATATTCCATTCATTAACATAAAAAGCTGTACAGAAGCAAAAGTGCCACCATTATCAGTTTTATTCGTTTGATCTAGAAGGAGCTCCCACATAATGATAATTTTTCAGCTTGAACTGAATGCTAATGCCTATATATTTCAAGCACTGTAACTAAACTGAAAAAAGAATAAATCACCCAAACATTCTGAGAATCCTAATCTAACGCTCTGACATTTCCATGGCCTGCTCCTACTCATGACCATGAACTTTGTAAGCAGTAGTCAGCGTTTTGACCTTTGACAGAGAAGTGTTCTTACCAATTCTCCATCATCTGAGGTACATGCTGCTAATACTGGTCTGTACTAAACTATTTAGTAGCTGAATCTGGTGTAAAAGGCATGAGTTTGGCTTGAAAATTGATATTATGAAGAAGATCACGAACAGATGAAACAGACCCATGAAAGAACATTTCAGACAGTGTAAGAATCTCCTTATGTAAGAATGTCCAAAGCAGACATATATATAACCTGTCAAAAATGTATACAAACACCAAAGACAGCAAAGTTAAAACAGAAAGTTATCAGAAGCAGTTTTTCAAGAAGTTGAAGTTGTATCCATGAAGGAAAACAGAGAAGAATGAATCCTGGTAAATTCTGGTAGACCTAAATAATTTTAATGGAATATTGAGTATAGGCACAAAAGAGAACATAAAGAGGAGGCTACCACAGTCTTTCTGAATTAGATCTTTCATTTTCATATTCATGGTGATTAGAAAAATATTTAGTCTAGAATATAATTTTTGCAGAATGAACTGGAATATATACTTTTAACTGATATTTCAGAAAGAGAAGGTAAATAGTGAATCAACAAAAAAAAAGGAAAAAATTTTTTAAATGAGATGATATTCAGTGTAAAACATCTCAAGTCTAAAATAATTGTTAACTGCAATACAGTCTTTCATTGACAAGAAGTATAAAAGGTGGCAAAAATGCCAATTTACTAATTTTTAAGGAGTTTCAGCATTATATCAACTGAAAAATAGACAAATGAGTCTGACATCCACATTAGACAGATTTGTAGAAACCAAAATACAGAATAAAATTAGCAAGCATATGAATAAATTATGATAAAATGTGGAAAAGTAAGAATGGCTTTAGTAGAGGGAATTTGTGTCTGTTACATATATTAGAATTCTTCCAAGAAGTCACAGAGAAAGAGAGAAAAGGGGATTTATTCCTACTGCTGAGTTGAAATTACAGACTTCTAAAGAATCTCAGCTGCCATGGAATAGGAACAAATTCATCCATAAGAAAACTCAATTAAAGAAAAGACAAGAACAAAAAGACAGGACTAAATGGTCAGGCTTTTTTTGAGGGAAAGGCATCACCAGTGAAGCCTCACAAGGAATCAGTCTAGAGTCACTCTGTTCAGCATATTCATGAATTATCTAGAATAAAAATGAATGAGACACAGAAAAGCCTCACACTAAATTAGCAACAGTAGTAGAAAAAAACGCCAGTTGAGAAGAGTTTTAGAACAGACTCATAATAGACTGAATAGAGAAGCCAGCTTACAGAAAGACAGGTTAGATGGTAAAGAAATCTTTCTGTGGTGAGCACTGTGAAGCAGTGGAGCAAATTACCAAAGAGGTCATGGAAGAATCTCGTTGCAAATCTGTCAAGAGACTTCAGACAAATATCTGCCACGTTCACATGCTCCATCCCAAGGAAAGTCTAAACGGTGTATTAGGAAATGAAGCCGCCTCCCTAATGCACTTTTTCTATGTTTGCAAGTATGTAGGCATAATGACTCAAATATCTGTCCTCACTGGTATTCATAATCAGATGAAATTACCTCAGAAATTATTATCTCTCTTATTAACGGCAACAATTTAGTTAGTTATAAAAAACAAATAAAAATATGTGAACTTATTGAAGACAAAATTGTTAAATTATCTTAATGAAATCCAAGGCAATTTGAGACACTTACATATAATCTTATTTACATTAATAATCAGGAAATATTATTATACTTTTGGTATATTTTTATATTTTTTATTATTATATACTTTGTCAGTCAAAAACTTCAGTCCATTATTTAAACCTACCTTACAATATTAGACAAAGAAATACGTACCATGCATACCATTGTCTCCTAGCTTCCAAAAGATGATATTTACTGATTGCATGGTATTTGCAAAGAGCATATTACAGGGAAAAAATGGATTTATGGAAATAAATCATATAAAAATATTTTAATAATAAATATTAAAATATTGCATTCTTGTATTGCTTTAGAAAATTGTGTTTCCACAAAAGACTAGCATAATACAGCTGGAGTATTGTCATAAATCTTCTACAAGTATCTGTCAGAATCTGAGAAAGATTCTGTGTATCAGATCTGAACATTATATCTGAAATGCTGAATAAATTGATCTCAAGACTTTTCTGTGATTACTTCAGTTGTGCTGAATTTTTTACTCTATCATTCAACTTTTTAAAAAACTCAGAATGTGTTTTGCCTATTGTTATACAATAAACACCAGTATATACTAGTTGTAACAATATATGTTAATGCATTTAATTTTTTCCTAAAAATAGTTTGACATTCGCATGTGTATGTATATAATAAATATGCATAATATATGTGCATATGTATAATAGATAAGAAAGGTTAAAAAGCACTATATTATATTATATATAATATTCTAACACTACTTTTACCATAATCTTGTGCAGAAGCGCCTGGGCAAGCAAGAGAGAAACAAAGCCTTGCTCTACCCTGTAATAATCAATGTCTCAGTAGATCACTAGATATACTTCCCTGTCTTAAATAGTGACTCACCCTCCAATCAAAGAATTGTCCTTTCATGAGCTTGTTAGTCGAAAAATTATACATATTAACTTAAAAGTCGTAATCACAAATCCATCTGCAACTGGAAATTACATGAAATGAGGACAGATGTCTTAAAAGCCCCTGAAGTAGATATCATTACCTCCTTAAAGGAAATCTATTTCAGTAGTTATGTGATTTGTATGCATAAGCAATGAATAAGAGATACTGAGCTTAGGAGAAGCTTGTTAAACTCTCATAACTCCATACCTTATTTGACCGTAAAGACACTCTTCCTCCACAGCGCGCGCAGAATTTAGTTTGGCAATATGAACAGTTATGGCCACAGCCATCAGCAAATTTTGTTTTGTGGCAGATGCCACAGGTTGGGGCATCACCCTTCTGCTCCTGCTGCTGCTGTGATTCTTCACCCATCTTCTTCACTTGCTCCTTATACATTTCAAACTGCTGATGTAATTTTCTGCAGAAGAGAACATACAAATACAAATAAAATACAAATCAGAGTGAAATACTGTAGTAAAGCAAATACATTTAATTTACGATGCTCCAGAAGTGTTACATTCAAGAATTACTTCTTTTTCATTATAATCAAAATCTAGGAGGAAGCTCAGCACTGATAGCACTCAGCTGTTACAAAGGGAAGTAACTCTGATTTAGGATGTGACCAGCTGTTTGCTGAAAATACAACAGTAAGAGACAGGTTGAGTGATCAAAGAGCCCATAGCACTAGACAATAAACTGGTTAATAGCAGGAAAAAAAAAATCAAATTCATTCTTCCAAGTGTTCTTTTACCTAATTCCACCAGACAGATGCAGATATCTTCTTTTGATATAGCTTATCTTCATTTATCTTCACAGAATAATGATTCTAAAATGCTTTTTCAATGACTTTTCAATCACCGGGTTCAAGCCCATAATAAGTTACATCATCTTAACAAGTGATTATAAATAATTTAAGCCATTCATATCATTAGATAGGAACTACCATCTTATGTAAAATGTAAGGTAGAAGACTACCTTAGGTGTAAAATCCAGGAATAGTAGTTTAAGACACACACACACATTTACCTTCCATTTGTAGAACTGGAAACACATGCACAGTCAGTGGCCATGTGTGTACAGAATTGCAATGAATCTTTCAGTCATGCTACGTCATTCATACTTCTGAGTCTGCAATTATGAAATCTCCATATATGATAATTAGGCGTGTCTCACTATGACCAAACTTACAGATTTATTTCTTGATTTATAATGGCAGCTTTTTCTCAAAACCTCTGTTTCTGAAGGTAAAGGATGTTATGGGAAATTTAATTATCATTGTAAAAAGTCATAATTTTTTAGCTCTCCCAGATTCTGAAAGAGATGCAAAATGTGACATAGCAAATTATAAGAGATTCAAATATAAAGAGAAAACAAAATTAATTTTGTCTTCTCTTTTATCCTTGTCATTCAAAGGGGTCTGAACAGTGATATTTAAATTCATAGCACGGAATTCAACTCACTAATTTTGCTAATAGAGTCTGCACATTTTAGCAAATTAAAAGTTATTAATCTAATTTAAGCAGATTATTAGTTCCTTGAACAAGATCAAGCAAAACCCCAAGAATGAAGCACTTTCTATGAAACATTAAAAAGGTAACCTAAAAAAAGATACTAAAATTGCAAAAGACATTTATTTTTCCTTAGAATTATCCTTCTAGAGACTCTTGAGTTTAGGTCATTAAAAAACACACATGAAGCATAGGATAGAACAAAAAATAACCTCCTAGAAAAAAATTAAATCCAGAAGACCAACTTCCTTAAGCATAAATATATCCTTTATATAGATCAGATATAAATTAATGATGAAAAACTATTTCATCAGAAGTGTTAGAGGCTCCTATGAAAACAAATATTACACAGAGTCACTTAAAGATTAACTTAAGCAGTTATTTACCACAGATATTCACACATATGGCAAGAATTGTTGGGATTTGCTTTGTTTTTCAGGAAAACTCCCCTAAGAACATACTTCACATTACTCTACAGAGGAATTGTAGGAACAAATAGGCAGCTCCCTCTCTCCATCAGGCAAGACAGGAGGCTGGAGGCCTTTCTCTTCCTCTGTGTCCCAAACTCTGCCTCGAGCCCTCAACTACCACTGACCCTTTCCCAGACAGAGGGAAAGCAGGGTTGCTTTGTCTTGCTTTTGTGTCATTTATCTAATGTACCTCCTTCTGTCACTTTGAGATCAACTCTGAGTGCACAGGCTGGCCTCAGGGTACAGCAGCACGGACTCAGAATAACACTGACACGCTTTTCTCTCACCTTCAGCCCTTCCCACCTTCACAAGCCTCCTGACCTGCAGCACACCAGGGACAGGGGGCTTGTTGAGGCATCCATGGGAAGGATGTGAAGGATGTCATTGCCCTGAAAGCCATTGGGGGAGTCAGGGGTGAGGGGCTTCCTCTGCCTCCTCACCGGTTCAACAGAGCTCACTATTGAGTGTTGAATGGGGAAGGACACAAGTTACTAATAAGCAAGAGCTGAATGAAGTTAAAACAAAATTTAGAAATCTGGAAACCTCGCACATTTCAGCGTTTTACACTGACAACAGTATATAATTGGTAGTTGGTAGTCTGGCCTGTTTCCATCAATAACACATGAAAGCTCTGAGATCTTGCTTGCCTTTTAATTTTGCTTAACATTGCATTCTTCATTTAAAGCATATTAACTATGCTGAACTCCAAGTTTATTTTTAGGCTCCATTCAGTTTTGTGGCTTCCTTATAATCTACAGCCTTTGTTTGTATGATTATTTGCTTACCAGTCTCACTGATGCATAAAAAGCACAAGCCTTTTGCCAAATCTTAAGCCTCGTGTACTGAAATAATTTCACTTTTGTTTCCTCTTGAGCGCAAGAATCTATGTAAAGGTCACAACTTTTCCCTCAAAGTATAAACTTTTCAAGGTTGTACAGAGTAGTTTTCTAAAATCCTTGTTCTAGCAGGAAACAATTTATCATGTGCCAAAGTAGTTCTTTACTATACCTTTTTCTGTTCCAAGAAAAATATTACATGCATTGATAGCTATCAGAAAAAACGCAGAAGAATCTATGAAATATTCATTTACACACAATATGTGTTCTACTTACTAAACAGTACCACTTGAGATGAATATGCATACTTGAAACAAAATACAAAATATTTATTTTAGGAAGTTCATTAAAAAAGTGTTTATTTTGTAGATAAATAATTTTTTTGCTTATCCAGCTTGCACAGGTTTAAGCCAGAAATTAAGCTAATAACATGCAGTAATAATTAGGTGTTTAGAATAGAACGGTATCTGAAACACATTTAGTAAAAAATGTTTAAGATATACTTTTCAGAAAACATAATGCAAATAAAACTCCACTTTTTTCAAGCTGTCTGCACTCATGTTTTAACTCTGAACATTGCTGCCTGAAAGGGCTTGGGAGCTCAGTTACCAGGGAAAGAAAGTAATCAGTACCAAGGCAAACTTCAGAGCCTGGAACTGAACTAGGGTATTCAAAAACTACAATTTCCAGTCTTTATATCCAGTGAGTTAGTCTGTTAATGCAAGTGGTCAAGACCCATCCATGATTCATAGAATAGTTTAGGTTGGAATAGACCTTTAAGATCATTAAGTCCAACTGTTAACTTAGAACTGCCAATTCCACCACTAAACTATGTCCCCAGGTGCCACGTCCATATGTCTTTTAAATACTTCCAGGGATGGTGACTAAATACTTCCCTGGACAGCCTGTTTCAATGGTTGAAAACCCTTTCTGTGAAGAAATTGTTCTTACTATACAAAGTAAACCTCCCTTGGTGCAATTAGAGGCCATTTTCTCTTGTCCTGTTCCTTGTTACCTGGGAGAAGAGGTCAACACCCTCCTACAACTCCTTGCAGGTAGTTGAAGAGAGTGATAAGATCTCCCCTTCAGCCTCCTTTGCTCCAGGCTAAAGATCCCCAGCTCCCTCAGCCACTCCTCATCAGATTTGTGCTCTAGATTTTTCGCCAGCTTCACTGTCCTTCTTTGGACACACTCCAGCACCTCAGTATGTCTCTTGTAGTGAAAAAAAGGGTTCCATACAGGAGTTGCATTCTAGGCCAAAATGCTTATCCGTAATGAAAAACCTTATTCTTATGCATGATAGGGAAATTGTTTTGGTTGTAAACCCACATAACTATATCAAACCACACAGTAACAAATCATTTAAGTAGAAAACTCAGCAATGCATATCTATAACCCTTATATATGTGTATTTTGACAATGGCCTCAATAGCACATGCCATCTAGTTGTATGATGCAAAGTCTCTCACCTTTATTACATTTGTTTCAAAAATTCATGTACTTTAATAATGGTTATAAATTTTAGAGGAAAAATAGAACATGGTATGAATTTATGAAAACACTGACTGATAATGAAAAGTGAGGCTGAAAAATTGCTAATTAAGTTCTGCTCATTTTCATCTCTTGATAAAGTTCCCTGAATTACACTTGTGTCTGCTGGAAGTTACAGTGGTGAAGTTCATGAGATTTATATGACTAATCAAGATTTTCTTTGTACTGTAAAACATCATATCCAAGACCGCTTCATAGAGGATTTCTCAATGTCAAAGGCAAGTGTTTGTAAGAGCTTGGATTGCTCTGTCAAGGTCAAGAAATAGAAACTATTTGAATACTTGCTTTTTTCTGGAAGGGAGTTAATTTAATTCTCCTTATTCTTGCTTTCCCACACCTTTCCAGGAATGAGAAATTCAGTACCAATCAAAAAGCAGTAGACTGTGAGACTCTCATAATCCATGTCAATGGCAAGAAAGAAAAGCAAGTTTAGCAGTCTGATGTTTCTTATTATTGTACAGAAGTTTTTATTTTTTTGCCATCCTCCAGAAATGTCCATAAAACTTCCAGCATTTTACCAAAACAAAAAAAAATATTATTGACAAGAAGTTCTGAAACTATTCCTGCCTTCCAAAAGTTCACATAAATATGCCTGAAATTTCCAAAGCTGCTTAAAATCTACCATTAGAAGGGTGACTGTTCAGTAAGTGTCCAGGATGTTTAGGCCAGCTGTAAGTCTAACAGCCACTGCTTATTTCCTGGTTACACTTCTAAGTTTTATTACTAATGTAGCCCGTGCCTCATTTCCTATTCCCAGGCACAGAGCAGGGATGTGGCTGGAATCCAGGCTTCAAAAAGAGTTTGTGTGCTTTAGGTTCTGCCAAGTCCATTCATTTAACGATTTTTTGCCTAGTAGTATATGACATTCTCCTTCTACGGTACATTTAAAGTTTCTGCTTTTAGCATCGTGCCAGCTAACCTGTCACCTAGTACACCTACTTCTCTTCTGAATGAATTCTTTTCTTACACATATATATATATATATATATATAACATATATATAACTTCATGCATTGGTAGAGGCTGGGAAAAAACAGGCTGAACAGCAGCTCT